CTTGTCAGCGAATTAGTTGCAGGTCGACGTCGGAAGTGCCAGCCATCGGCATACACGATACCTGTCTATGCCATTTGCAGAGCCATCTCGAGGAGCCTGTTAGTAAGAACACAGCTAGCATCGGAGCTAGTCGTTGGACAGCGTCAAGTGCATCATTAGCCACTACAACGGGTGATCAGCCCCCAAACCGGATTGTAACACACCACGGGCTTGGGGTGAGAGTGCAAGCAGTGCTTGCAGGCTGGGGGTGTATAAGCAGGACAGCTTACGACACTGATATTTCTTTGCGCCAGCGGAAAGGTCTGGTAGGTGGGGTTTCATGTTGGCATGCCGGGCGACAGGTTTTTCAAAAACGTCCTGTTGCCCAACAGCTGTGCCCTGTCCTTGTTGTTCTTCTATCTTGACTGGCATTCTTACTATATGAGAGAATAGCCGGCGTAGTTATCTTATAGAGCCCCCCAGTGATACCTGTTGTGTCTCTATTCTTCACAAACTCCCATATGTTCGACTGACTGATATAAAGAGGGAGCAGGCACTTCCGACTTACTCACAGCGGCTGCAGCTGATTCGTTGGGAGAGCGTGACCGATGTTGATGGATCAACTCGGGCATGCGAATCGTAAATCAAGCCTTGATCTGGGTTCAGGGTTCAGGGTGCAGGGCTTAGTGGATTTGGGGGAGTTTAGAGTTTTAGTTTTGGGCAAGCTTAGGTTAGTTTAGCAGACCAGGATTAATAGCATCTCAAACCCTAAAGCCGAGTTTGATTCCGACAAATGCGGGGACGGCTCTCTCCTCCGGCATGCGCTTTTCGAAGCGCACTTTTGCTGCAGCGGCAGTGGAACGCTGGTGGATTGATTTCTCGGGGATTCACTGGGGTTAAGGACTTGGGATGTATAAACGGGATTTGGGGTTTAGGGTTGGTTTTGGAGTGTGTAAATCGGGGTTGCGAGAGGTTCGAATGGGTGATAAGACGGTGGAAGGAGGGGCTCAAACGGTACAGGAGGGCTTCCGAGAATCGTGAAGCTCTGCACGGTTTTAAGAATAGGGTTGCCAGGGTGCAGGACATGCAAGTCAGGGCTGTGTGCCATGCATGCGATACCATTGCTGCCACAGCAGAGAATTGAGACGTGGGCTTATTGCCAAGAAGTTTGCGTGTGCGACAGAGACGCAGATGTAATTTACCTACATGTGCGTAGTCCGACACCTTCCATAAGCTATAACTATGACCCCACGATTCTTCTCCCGCTCTCTGACTCTCAATCTGCATATAAATTTTCTGTTGACATATCTTTCCTAACGTCCTCGTCGAGTTGCTCCGGAGCCGTGTCGAAGCCCGCCCACAACATACTTGGAGTTGCTGCCATAGCTGCCCAACATGAACCTTTCATCTGAGACTGCCTCAGGACGGCATCGGATGCTTGAAGCTGTGATAGAGTGCTAATTTGAGCGAACGAGCAAACAGCATGTGGCCAACGCCCACCGCACTGGATGCCTCTTCAATGCTCTGAGACGTCAGCAAGTCCCGATCCGCTAGTAGCCGGAGGGGTTCATGTCAGAAACGGTCGTCACCGGAGCTTAGTAATTCTTAGTAATTAGCCGTAAAGGACGACTGAGAGCAATCATCGATTAATGCCTCTACTATACGGGCCTTAATTCTTACCTACTATACTATTTTTTTTTTTTTTTGGGGGGGGGGGGGGGGGCGGGGGGGGTCCTTGCTCACTATTTTAGAATAGGCCCCAAAACCTTATTCTAATTATTCCGGCCCCTACATTAATGCTCTATCGATGAAGCCCTGCCTTTTGCAGCTGCACCCTGCTGCATGTGGCAGAAATGTTCTGCAAGCCATGCTGAGTGTAGCCGGTTGTCGCAGTTGAGCCTGTAGTGAAGAGTGATGGCATGAACACGTAGAAGTAGTGACTCCAAGACCCGAAACCGTAGTCCGACATAAGATGCAAGACGACCCTATTGGAGACTCGGCAGGAGCGGATACCCAAGCATCTGTAATTCAGGAAGCTGGAGCCTGAGCAAGTCGGGACTCCTGCGTGCTGACGACCCCGAATTGTCAATTTGCAGAGGTTGATCGGAATGCGCCATGAGATCAACGACGGATCCATCTGAGAAGCATTTGTGACGAACTGCGTTATGCACTCCTTCTGTTTGATGCAAGCATTTCTCGTGGCTCCCGAGAAGCCTCCTAATCCTGCTATAGCCTTTGCATCCAATACCCTGACACAGTCTGGGCCCAGCCGTCTACAACATCTTGCTAGCCACCGAGTTCGTAAACCTTTGCACAGGGATGTATGATTCACGATGGCAGGCCCGCGCAATTTGTTCCGGTAGATCTTATGCAGCTTTCAGGGCACATGTGCAGACTCCTGCATCGCCAACTGTTCGGTGACAGCGTCCGTAGCGCCAGATGCAGACGCACATAGACATCCAATGGGATGTCGGCCCGAGATACCGTCGCTACCACCTTAGGAGCGTCGAAGGCGATGGGAGTGTCCGAATGGCAAGGATCCTACAACCGGGTTCCTTCTTGTCTGAGACTCCCCATATTGCTGCAAAAAGATTTTTGAGGCCCAGATCTCGCGTTGTGGTCCAGCAATCGACGGAAGGAGACTAGACTACAGATGCTTTTAGGGCTTTGGGTGATCCGAGGCGTCAAACCTGAACGCCTTTACAGCTGAATCCCTGTGAGGCAAGGAACCTGAACCCTACTCACCAATCCCTACATCCGAAGTTCCAGCCCTTCCGCTCGGCCGGTGTATCTGCATCCATGCTAATCACTGTGCAAGCCCATTTGGCATCGAGGCCTTCAACAGCCCTTCGGACTCTCAGAAAAAGGAAAGCCTCGCAACTCCGAGCGAAACGATATGAAGCCTACAGACTTACTCAATCATCCTTAAACCCTATACCCTAAACCCAACATTATACTCTTAAGAAATTTGACAAAGCCTTGTCAATTCCTTCCAGAGAACTCGAACTCCAAAGCCTGAGGCCTTGAACCTTCAACCCAAAACCCTCAACCGGATCTAAACTGGGTTGAGGGCTGAGCCAAACTCCTAAACCCTGAAACAACCCGAGGTCCCTCCCACCGGATTCTCTGGACCCAAAACACACTGCATCATACAATCCTACCTACAGTCTCCATTGTAGTTCCTTTTAAAGCCGCTAAAGACAGTCCGTCCAAAGTCCCTACAGCACAAAGCCCCTGAGCCATGAATTTTTAAACCTTGAATCCTGAAACCCCAGACCTCCCTCCCCGGAACCGACCAACCCTACATTCCTAAACCCCTGAACCACAAACCTAGACCCTGCATCATTACACCCTGCCCTAAATCGATCAACGCCTAAGCCTCTCTTTCGGAATTGAATAATTAGTCTTAACCTAGGCCCTAAGCCTCTTTTTCGGAATTGAGTAGTCTTAACCTAGGCCTTAAACTTTAAGCTTCCGAGAATTGCTGCCCACGCGAGCTCCTTGCCGCTCCACTAAGCCCAGCAGTGCCCAGTCGCTGCTGGCCAGAGATCACCGAGACCTCGCGCCAGGCTCTTGAATTGAAAAAGAGATCGGAGCAGGGTGGGTTTGGGGGTTCAGGGCTTCTGCTTAAGATGTTCGTTGTTTAGGCTTTGTTGTGTTGTGTGCATTTGGAGGGTGAGTTTGGGGGGTCGGAGAGAGTGTCGGGTGTTGGTGTTATGTTAAGATTTTGCAGTGCTGGGCTACAGTAGATTCGGACAGGCTTTTGGATGCTTGGGCCATGATCTTGTGGTGCACGCTTCAGAGCTTGCGCTGTGCATTACGATCTGGGGACGTCTAATGTCTGGGATGTAGAATCAAGGATGAGATGCTTAGAGTCCAAAGTGTTTAATGGTTGTGTTTATGTTACTGTTTGTAGTTTAAGGTCTCAGGCAATTTGGGATGCTGTGGCCTCGCACTGTCAGGGCTGACAAAAGAATCGTTGCGAGTTGGATGATGCATCCGTTGGCAAGTTACCAGACAAGGGAAGTAACAAAGCAACATGGCATGGAAGACGGATGCTTGCATTCAGGGTTATGTTGCTTCAGTTCTTGCAATGATGCTGACGATGATGATGCTGACAATAATGATGATGGTGATGATGATGATGATGAGGATGATCATGACGATGCTGATGCTGATGCAGAGGTTGATGCTGGTGATGATGAGGACGGGGAGGATGAAGATGATGGTGGTGATGATGAGGCTGATGATGCTGATAAGAAGGCTGTTGCTGCTGATGATGTTAATGATGACATGCTGCTTTTGGCGTGCTAATGGTGATGGCCAATATAATTTGCATGAACCTGAAGGTAGTTATGATGATGGTGACGATGATGGGCAGCATGGCGACGACGATGATGACGGATGTGTCAAGATTCACACGAAGATCAACAGCCATGTCAATCATGGCAACTGCCTAGCACACATGATGACAGTAACGAAATCTTTACCGGCTGCGGAAAAGTAGTTAGCCCCGGGCAGGTCAACCAATAAGACTTAGTGTCTTTCAGGGTATATGTGCACGCTTACGTTGCGCCTAGATGTCCTGGACTCGTCATGCGCATGCCGCGCACACATGCAAGCACACCCCTTACAGATCTTCCGGTGCCCCATAAGCACAAACCCGTCTTGGAGGTTCATGAGTAGTCATAAGTGGAGCTATAGATAGGGTAACTATACAGTAACTATAAGCCAACTTAGGGGACTATACTCCCACTTCTAACTAGCCATGAACCTCCAACTACGGTGTCATGCATGCATAGGAACCCTTGGTTGCCCAGCTTCCGCCGTATTCCATCACAGCAGGAGTTCAGCCCGTACATCTGGCATACCACTCATGACTTTCATTCAGCAGTCGGGCATGTAAAGCTATTGGACTCGTTCAAGGGGTCGCTAGCTGCCGGTATGCTTCCAGGAGCATCTTCCATAGTCTTAAGATAACTTGTTTGGAGTAGTTCCCTTCCGCTGCTTCCCTCGCCGCGATGACGCTCCGCCTCGTGGCCTAAGGTCGGTACGTTTGTCTCCTGAAGATGCCTGGTGCCTCAACCTTAAGCTACCTTCAAGCCAAAGCCTTCCACTCGAAGCCCGATAAACTAGACTCCAAACCCTGAGCCCTAAACCTAGTAAGCCCACAAGGATCAAGCCAGGCCCCTCACTCGCTAAGGCTTGACGAACATGGACTTCACGCCGGGGGTTCCTTGGTTTGAGAAGAAATAGAAAAAGGACCTGCATGTACCCTCAAACAGGGGTCTTTTGGGCGCCCAATTATGGGCATTTAGGGTCTTATAGACTGCAGCTGACAGTTCAGGCTCTAATTCGGCTTAAGATCTCAAGATATGAGGGTCTTGGGTGGTTTTCGGAGGGGTTCAAGGGTCTTGGGCTTAAGGTTTAGCCTGTCCCTGCCAGTACAGCATGGCCCAATGGCAGCATCCTCAAGTTATAGTGGTGGAGGGTTAAGGCTGTCAGTCCTAAACCCCTACACTTTACTAAACCCCAGACCCTATATGGGCGGTTGTCAAAATTATGGTCCAACTTGGGTCCTATTATAATACGGCACCTATGATTTAGGGTACCCAAGCAGGGACCCTAATTTTGACAACCACCCATATGAAAGTCTATCGAGCAACGCCCAGAGCCCAAGCCGAGCTATCAGTTTTCGGGCTTCAGCTTCGGCCGCATTTGGCTGTGAGAGAGAGAACGACGGAGAGTACGTCGGCGTATTCTTGTGCTGGAGGTGTTGAGCAATACGGAAGCTAGCTACTGCGAGAGATGAGTTGGAGAAGTCCGACCTAGAAAGGGGCCTGAATAATTACCAATACACTTCGGGGGGGTTCCTTATCATAATTATAGTAGAATAGGCCTCAAACCCTATTCTAATCATTAAGGCCCCTACATCAGTCTCATGTTGCCAGAGTTTGTGTTGCTGAGGGGAAGCTGGCCCCAGATGCCAACTTGTCAGAGGTGGCTGCAGCCGAAGCCTCAGTGTTTAGGGTTTAGGAGCGGTTTAGGTGATATATTTTAGGGTTTAGGGGGGTTTAGGGTTGAGGACAGTTTAGGGTCCAGGGTATAGGGTTTAATGTAGATGATCGGGTTTAGATGTTTTAGCAGAGTTTAGGGTGTAGGGGTACAGCCTACAACGGTTACACTTAGTGGGATCCGCCTCGGACAGGGTGGCACTGGCTGCACATGTTGTCCTGCTGAGCAGGAACGAGGCATCGAGTTCTTCCTGGTTGCCTTCGTGGACTTGAAAGGCACATCACCTGATGCCCACAGAAGTCCCGCCCCCCCCCACCCCTCCACACTCTCCCCCTTCTGCACATGCATTTCCAGCCGAGTTTAGACAAGTTCGATTGCCTTTGAACTGCTTCAGGGGTGCTCCGGACGAAGATGGTGCCAGCCAGCGCTATCAAGCAGATCCAGCGTGATGGAGACTTGTTGCGAAAAGGGTTGGGACATGGTTTTCGGTGGTAAGACAGGAAGCAGTGCCCGTTTGCACAAAGACTAGAACGGTTCGGAGATGTGAGATTTCTGCATGCCGACACAGGAGCTGGATTCGCCCCAGCTGCGACGCATATGGATTTTGGCAGCTTGGCTGCCCTGAGCCTGCACACCTTATGCTATACTTTTACTACTGTGGTATGATATACCGGAAAATGCTATATCATACTATGGCATACTCTAATATACGAAAACATACTGTTACCAGAATATACTAGAATATGTCCTAAACCCCAAGCCTGAATCCCCCAGCCGGCAATCTTCGTAGCGCCCTGTTGGTTCGCACTCAACGAGCGTTTCTATCATGGTCTAGGGTTTAGGGTTAAGGGTTTCGAATTCATGTTGTCGTGTTGTGTCTGTGTGCGGTTAGGGATTCGGATAGTCAAAGCTTCCTTCCACATCAAATCCAGATCCCTCCGACCTTAGAGTGACAGCCAAATTTAACCGAACCCGGAATCGCCCTTCGCCACACAATCTGGAAGACCGAAACCCAAACCCTCAATCCTAAGCCCTGAAAGACAGAGAAAGCCCTGTACCATTGGAAGCCGCAGCCTTCTAGCAAATCATAGTACATCATAATAGCATATCACAGGACATCACAGTACATTAAAGCAATACAGGGAACTCCAGAAAGTTGGAATATGGTTTCATGGTAGGATACCCTATAATTTACCATAGAAGCGTTAGGATAATCATATTCCAACTTTCTGGCTTTACCTTATACTCCTCAACTAGAGACCAGGCCCAGAAGCAGCGGACATGTTGCTTGGCGGCTCAGGGCTCGAAGGTCTGGCTGAGTCCGTGGTGGATTAGGGTTCGGTCCGATGGTTTAGCGAGGGTCGGTTGGGGGCTTGGGGTTCGGGCGCACTTTTTAGGGCTGAAGGCTTAAGGGCTCAAGGGTTTTATAAGGATTCAGGATTCGGATGTCGGATTAGCAAGGCTGCTGCTGCTGCTGCTGCTGCTGCTGCTGCTGCTGCTGCTGCTGCCCTTCTTAGAGCTTAAACACCAGATTCTGAGCAGGAGCACCTGTGCTTGGCTCTCAGGATTGTGAAGCCCGATGCCAGCACCTTGCTGCAGGCAGGGTAGGGGAGCCATGCCTTGATCGTTCGGGGACGCGGCTCCAGTTTGGGATTTAAGGTTTAGGGTTTTGGTACACCCTAACAGCTAAACCGTCCGCAGTGCTTCACGACAACAGGCATGGGGATGGTTTCTGGCTCCTGCAGGCCCTCAAGAGACCCATTCCTTTAAGGAACTCCGATGAGGGTTTAAGGCTTATAGTTTAGGGTTGCAGGTGTGTCACCCTAATACGGGAAACCGCGCCGCGCAACTGAAGACCCACAACGCCAAGCCATGGAAATGAACCAAAGAAGTGTGCGCTGCCCTGCTAGATATCGGTTTTGGGGGATGTTTTGCCTATAGTTGTCAGCGGGCTTATAAGTCCCCCAATATGTGATACACTTAGAGGTAGTTATGCTACTAATATAAGTCCACATATAACTACCCCTGAACCACTAAGTAGATGTAATGAGGCTGGAGCCCGGCTCAGCGCTGTAGCAGAGATATTTCACCACATGTTTCAGGTAGTCAGGGTTAATTGAATGAAGCTGTGCAAACGTAGGAAAATGCGTCCACGAGTTCAGCTTTCACAAGAGACCTCAGAATCTATGCCAGGTGCCATTCCAGACAGAAATGGCCGTGGTCATGGGCGACTGCTACATCGAGGGCCCCTTTTGCTGCACTGACTTGAAAGTTTTGATTCGGAAGCATTGCTACCTACCGTGCAAGAAGGCGTGCTGCATCTTCTGCATGAATGTCTGCATTCAGCATGACCAAGAGTGTCAGACAGGATTGGGGTAAGGGACACCGCGCAGCAGGGCACCGAGACACTTGTGCCGTACGCGGCAATATGCATCATGCCTTCGCAGATCCCTTCCAGAGGACACCTTCTCATATCCCCTAGACGGTCGTCATTCGCGCTTTGCTTGTGGAACAGTGAAAGAAATTTCACGTCCTGTCTCGGCATGAGCGAGCCTAGGACTTTGGGTTTTGGGTTAAGGGGTTCCCAGTGATGTTGCGCGGCAAGTGACGAGTGACGATTATGCAACCTTAAAGCTTGAACCCATAAAACCCAGAACCCCCAATCTCCTAAACTCCTTAATCCTAAACCCCTAAAGGTCTCAGGGGCTCCTTCACTGGGACTCTCCGAGTTCCGGCCATCTTGGTGGCCGGAGCATTGAGTTAACGGAGTGTTGAGGGTATATAGAGCATAGGGTGGTGTAAGGGTTTAGGATTTAGGGTTGAGGTATGGGGTTTCGATTGCTCGGATCCTCTCAACTTTGGAGCAACTTCACGCCGAAGGTCAAGAAGTGATGCAGTCTCCTCGGGCAGTGCTGCGCCAGCAGATTGCGGAGATCCAGAAGCGTGGATACGCGACCTAACTGAAAATCTTGTTCTTGCTGCGGCACGTAGCTTGTTTTACCGTGATAGGGATAATGCATGTCTACTAACTGTCTATCTATCTATCTCTCTGTCTATCTGTGGGTCTGTCTCTGTGTGTATCTACATAGATATATGATATATGTATGTATGTATGTATGTATGTATGATGCGGGGCTGCCACACCGGGATGCCAATCAAAAAAACATGTTTTTCAATCAAAACAAAAACTATATTCCAATCAAAAAAAAACTTTCCCTTATTAAAGGAAGCACGACAGGAAGGAAGGAAGGAAGGAGGGAAGGCAGGAAGAAAGGCAGCAAGGAAGGATGGCAGGAGGGAAGGCAGGAAGGAAGGAAGGCGGGGAGAAAGGGCGAGGAAGGAAGGAAGGAAGGAACTAAGGAAGGCAGGAAGCAAGGAAGGAAGCAAGGCAGCAAGGAAGGAAGGCAGGCAGGCAGACAGGAAGGAAGGCAGGAAGGAAGGAAGGAAGAAAGGAAGGCATGAAGGCAGGAAGCAAGGAAGGAAGCAAGGCAGCAAGGAAGGAAGGCAGGCAGGCAGACAGGAAGGAAGGCAGGAAGACTATACTACTACTACTACTACTACTACTACTACTACTACTACTTCTACTTCTACCACTATTACTAGTACTATTGCTACTACTACTACTACTACTACTACTACTACTACTGCTACTACTACTACTATTACTACTACTACTACTACTGCTACTACTACTACTACTATTATTACTACTACTGCTACTACTACTACTATTACTACTACTACTATTATTACTACTACTACTACTACTACTGCTATTCGTACTACTACTACTGCTACTGCTACTAGTATTACTACTACTACTACTATTATTATTACTATTACTATTACTATTACTATTACTATTACTATTACTATTACTATTACTATTACTATTACTATTACTATTACTATTACTATTACTATTACTATTACTATTACTATTACTTTTACTATTACTATTACTATTACTATTACTATTACTATTACTATTACTATTACTATTACTATTACTATTACTATTACTATTACTATTATTATTACTGTTGGAGTGATTTCAGCATGAGCCCCTGCGCAGAATGACACACATGCAGGCCTTTTTGCTCAGCGTATATAAAGTTGTTGCGTGCTTTCGGGGTGTTAGTTCAGGGTTGAGCCTAGAGTCCAAAGCTTAGGTAGCCAGGTTCTTCTAAAGGCCCTTCCCCGGTAACTCCTCGAAAAGAGGTTAGGAGCCCAAGCTCCCTTAGGGTTTCCTTAGCTCTACTTCGTAGGCTTAGGCCCCTAAGTATCGCCCTCCGCTCCCTGAACTTTGTAAGTCTAGGCTCTAGGTCCTAGCTTAGTCGGGTGTATCTAAGTGCTGAGCTTTGTTTTAGGAGTGTAGTCTCCTTCCTCTCGAAACCATGGACACCTCTCTCCGCCGGCGCAGATCGGAGCGCCAGGATCCTGATTTTCAGGATACGGAACAGGCCATGGCGTTGGGAGCCGAGATCGAGGCCCAAGCTTCTTCAGAAGGTCCGGCGGAGGCTCATCCTTTTTGGTCGGAGCGAGCTAAAGCCGAAGTGGAGTTGCAAAGGGCTAGACCACAAAGCCTAAAAGAAGCCAAGCTGCCGGAAGTAAAGGTTGATGAGGCCGTTTTGGAACCAGACTATGATTTGGGGCCCGGGGGAAAGGGCCGAGGAGCTTCGCCGGTTGTGGAAAGCGAGGTTGTGAGAGCAGCTTCAGGAAGGGCAGATGGTCATTCGAGAAATAAGGTGGATGGTGTGCAAAAGGGTCAGGAGCTGTTTTTGGAGCAGGCCCAGCAAAGCCGGGGGTTCAAGGACTCCCTAGCCTTTGGGCCGAAGCAGGCTACAAAACAAACGGAGCCTGTGGACCTCTTGTCGATGTCTCCTATGAAGATGACCTCTGAGGGAATAAACAACCCTCGGTTGCAACCACCTACGATCCCAGAGCTGGGAGGACCCTTCTCCTTGCCTGAACGCGAGAACCCAAGCCCAAAGCCGTCTGCCATTCTGGATGGGGAAACGGCTGGACACCTGTCGATGCTGCAGCATGGAGCCACTGAACGACGGCAGTCAGGTGTTCAGGACCTTTCGAATTCTGGAGTTCCTGCTTCGGAAGTTGGGGAGTTCTCCAGGATTGGTGGGCCACGGATGATGCTTGGAAGTTCGGCAGGCTCTACGCTTCAGGAGTTCTCGTCAACGACCGGATTAGGGGCTTCAGAAGGGAAGGTTCTGAACAGGTCTCACCTCGAACTAGATTCTGGTAGCGCGAGGGTAGGAAACGAAAGGGCTGAAAGTGTCAGTGAAGACACAGCAAGGAGGTCTATCCCTCTGTCTCCAGAAGCCCAGAAATCCCAGAAGAGTTCGGCCTACGAGATCCCGGATCCCTCAGAACAACATTTTGAACTAGTTAGACTACGGTCTTTGGTTGAGCATCTTCATGATAGGCTAGAGAAAGCTGAGGCTGAACGTAGTACGAGAGGATCCAGATCTTTTGGGTCGGCCTCTTCTGGGCGTAGGGTAGAGGAACTAGAGCTCAAGGGCCAAAGGGTAAACTTTCAGTCTGAGGAGGGTTATCCTTTGCCCCCGGTGCCACCTCTGCCTCCTTTCGCCTCTGAGGGGTGGTCTTCCTGGAATGCTTCAGACCCCCTTCATTCCACTCACGACCTTGTCTTGGGTCAGGAGCCTCCACGTCAGTCCTCCCTCGATATGGATTTTGGCCCATCTGTTCACTCCCCGATGGCTTTTCCCGGGGACATGGTGCCTTTGACTTCAACTACGAGTGCTCCTGGGGCCACCCTTTCGCCTTCTGAGGTTCCGTCTATGGACTTTGGACTTCACTCTTTTACAGGGCCCCCAGGAGTCCAATCCTCTTCAGGGATTCCCAATCCCGTTTCTCCTTCCGAGGTTCCTTCGATGGACTTTGGACTTCATTCTGCCGCGGGTGCTGGACCTCAGTACTTCGCTCTGTCTCCCCGTGCCCAGTTGCCGACTTCGTCTGGGGTGATAAGGGTTATGGGAGTTAATCATAGCTGGAAGGTGGTTAATGGTTCGTTGGTTTTAGAGCCTGTGGACTTCGTTCCTCCTCCTCCTCCGCAGTGGACTTCGCCCTTGGTCGCAGCTCCGTCCATTCCTGGGGCGTGGAGCAACAGTCCATCTCCTCCGAAGCATCCTGCGTTTGGAGCACAACTTCCAGTGCCATCTTGCCATGCTGTCTCCTCCTGCGCGGGAGCGGCAATGCCTCGATACCAATCGCCTCCTCCGAGGCCTCCATCGTCCACTCCACCTCCGAGCCCACCGGCCCCTTCGGGTTTAAGTCTTCCCATAGCTGCCCCGCCGGTTGGAAATAGTGGTCGGGTTGATGTTAAGGACCTTAGGCCTGAAGCTGTGGGTAAACATGTAAGTTCCCTACCGTCCCTAGAGGCCTATAACCCTAACAACCCCACCGCGCTTGGAGATTGGATCGCAGTGGTCCAGCCGATGATTTCTTCACTGTCAGACACCGGAAGTGTCTGGTGGGGTTATACATACCAGGCGGCCAACCAGGCCTACGTGCGGTGGCTCTCCACTTCCCCGCTTGAAAGGCTGTCGATCCAGAAGGAGTTTGATCAGGTAAATTTGGTGCAGCCCCAGCATGCCTTGCTGGAACAGCGATGCGTGACCTTGATTCTTCAGGCAATCCCGGATGCTGTGAGGGTTGACATTGTCGCCTCACGCCACCTGAGTGTGGCAGGAATGATCTTTCGTCTGATGACGGTGTTTCAGCCCGGGGGAGCGTCAGAACGATCAACCATGTTGCGTTTTTTGGTGACGCCGAAGGCTGCTTCCACTTTGTCGGAGGCTGCAAAGCTGCTGAGGCAGTGGACCCAATGGCGTATGCGCCTGAAGCAACTGCACGCAGCAGAGCCTGACACCACGCTTTTGGTTAAGGGTTTAGATGTCCTGACAGGAAAGGTGTTGCAGAAGCACTCTGCGAGCCTTTTCCGACTTGCCACTTTCCGTGAGCGGCTTGGGGTTGACTACCAGCCGACCTCCGACGCTGTGTCGGAGTTGTGTCGAATGATGCAGGCGGAGGTGGAGCACCTGATGCACTCCACAGATGACAATCCTGTGAAGGATGAGGTTCCGGGCCGAGGGGATGATGCTAAGAAGCAGCGCTTGCAGCGCTTGCAGACGTCTCCAAGTACCCCGAAGGCCAAGACTTCTCCAGCGGGACCCAAGTCGCCGGGTGCAGGTATGAAACCTTGCAGAAGCTGGCTAACGGCTGGCGGTTGCACGTACGGGTCGTCCTGTCAGTTCTACCACGACCAGGATGAAGAAAAGATGCGGGGCCGATGCTTCTGTTGCAGTGCCGAAGATCACTGGGCGGACTCATGCCCGGTGAAAGCCAGGTTAAAGGCGGAGGCTAAGGCTGCCAATGAGGAGTCCCCTTCCACTAGCCCTAAGACACCAAAGGCCCCTGCCGATTCCTCTCCTAAGGGTAAGGCGAAGGGTAAGGCTAAGGAAGGTAAGGGCAAGGAAGGCAAGCCTGGGGGTAAACCTAAGGTTGCTACCGTAGACCCTCAAACCGCGCCTGCTGGGACCGCGAATGACCAGGCACAGGCTGCAGCTCCGAGTCAGGGGGATGGCAATGCAGCCATCAATGCAGAAATCTTGAGTGTGCTAAGGTCGATCAAAACCAAGGCCTTGCGGCTTAGTGCTGTGAGCAACCCGACGGGCTACGGCTTGTTGGATAGCGGGGCCTCCGCTTCTCTCCGCCAGGCATCGCCTCAGGAAATCCAGGAGTCCCGCCCGGTGAGCGTGTCTCTCGCGGTCGGCGAGGCTCTGATGCATGTGAACTCCGCCGGGACGTTGTTGGTCAGGGAGTCAGTGCAGCCAATCTTGCCGATGCATGCGTTGCCGCTTTTGGGCTGTGAGATCAACTGGACTGACCGGGGCATTCACGTGCGGCATCCAGGTCTCGGGATCCTCCCGGTGAGACTCAAGGATGGCACTCCTGAGTTGCCAGAGTTTCTGGTGCTCCGCCTGATTGGCGAGTATGAGCGCTTCCTCTTGCGCCGTGAGACCTCAAGGGCCGTATCGCAACAGCTTTGGCAGCGATCAGTTGGCCAGGAGGAGGTTGGGCTTTCGTCCCTAAGGGAGTGGGTTGCAGCCCATGTGGCGGCAGATTCGTGCAGCGAAAGTGAGCTGCAGCTGATCGTTAAGACCCTCTTTCCTGGGCTCCCAGAAGGGTTAGCGTCTCAGGTTGCGGTGAGTCCCACCTTTGATCCCTCCTGCGTTCCCTTCAACCGCCGGACCAGGAGACAGCTGTTTGACCCTCAGGTCCCAACCTTGGTGCATCTGTTTGCTGGAAAGCAGCGGTGGCGACATTCTGTCGGCCAAGTGCTTGAGGTTGATATCTCTAGGGGATCGGACCTTCTTTCTGATGATGTGTTTGGCATGCTGCTGCGGGCAGCCACCCTGGGTGTCATCGATGGGGTCGTATGTGGCCCGCCAAGCAGGACCTTCAATCCTGAAGCCCTGGCGTCCTCCTCTAATGGCTTGAAGTTCCGAGGGGAAGAAGGGGATGATAGGTTTGGGTTTTCAGACCTCAGCCCGTCCGATCGTGCTTTGGTTGATCGGGACACCCTGTTGTTCCTCCGGTCTCTGCTGTTGACCTTTGTGGCCTCGTGTGCCAAAGAGAAGTTCTTCAACTGCTTGGAAATGCCTGAGACTTCTACTGCTTGGGAATGGCCCGAGTATGAGAATGTTTCTGTGTGTCTGGGGGGATGGACCGCCAGCTTCGACCAGGGCACTCTTGGTCACCCCTGCTCTAAGGCCACTGCTGTGTATACCAGCAGCTTTCAGCTGTATGAGTCTCTTCACGAGCTGAAGCTTCCTCCAGAGGTGATTGAAGCCCCGGCTTCTAACTTCTACGGCAAGGAGTGGGCTCCCGGGCTTGTTAGCCGGGTTCTGCGGGCCTGGGATGACTACTGCTGTGTCAGCTTTGAGCGCTTGCAGGCTCACACCCGTGAGCGGGAAGGACTCCTTCTCAACTTGTGCCAAGAAGCCACTGTGGCTAAGATGTCACCCGAGGTTTGGGAAAGGCACTGCCAAGCAGATCATTTGCCGTATCGCAATGATTGCCCAATTTGCATTCAAGGAGCTTCCCGCGATCGCTCCCACTTCACGAAGCATCCGCATCTGTTTGAGCTCTCCAGCGATGTTGCGGGTCCGTACCACAAGGGCCGTGACTTTGGAGGAGCATGCAGGTATTTTGTGATTTTCACAATAAGGGTGCCGGTCAAAAGTGATAAGAAGGAGTGGCGGGATAAGTCTTCTGAAATAGCTTTCCAAGAAAAGGTTGATGAGGCTAAGGCCCAGGATAAGGAGGATCCCCATGCAAGCTTGATCTACCAGCCGGTGCATGTTACCGGAGAGCCCTTAAGGGGGGATGCTGAGCAGCCTTCTCGGGTTAAGGTGTACACAAAGCTTGGGGATGACTTTCTTGAAGAGCCAAGCTCGGCCGTTGGGGTTTCTTCCACGCCGGGGGAGGATGATGACTCAGCTCTTCCTGTGAGCTTTGAGGTTAAATCTCCTCACAAGCCTCCGCCGCTTCAGCCTGAGGGCAGTGACTCTGATGATGGTCAAGAGTTTGTGACTCTGGTGTGGGCTGAACCGCTGAAGACCCGCCAGTCCTTCAATGTGCAGCTTGCAATCATGCGTGCTGTTGCCCGCCTCCGAGCGTTTGGCATTCCGTGCTTTCGCTTCCATAGCGACAGGGCTCGGGAATACTTGAGTGATTCGCTTGAAAGGTTTCTAGCCGAGCAGGGCATTCACTCCACAAGGACAGCCCCTGAGGATCATCCCTCAAACGGCGCCGCTGAGGTCGCGATTCGAGAAGTCAAGCGAGCGGCCCGCAGAGCTCTTCTTTCGGCGAATCTGCCTTCGTGCCACTGGCCCACGGCAGTGAGACATGCCGGAGAAGTGATGTGGCGTAAGGGCCTTGTTCGTTTGGGTGGTGCGGCCAGGTCTTTGCTGGCTTACGGCACGCCTGTTGAGGCTCGCAAGCGCCTTCGCCACAGGGATGTTTGGATGTCCCGAACTCGGTCTGGAGTCCTGATTGGCCCGGCTCCGCAGACCTTGTCTTCGTACCTTGTGCTGTTTGAGGATGACACGGTGTGCATTACGTCGGCGGTGTATCCTGTTGATTACCGGCCGCGCCCTCCGTCTGAGCCTGCTGAGCCTCCTCTTAGGCCGAAGCCCTTGTCGGGTTCCAGCACAGGTGCGTTTTTGCCGACGCCCCACTACCGTCACGGCTCCAAGGGCCCTTCTGTTCGGGTCACGTTGCAAGGCCCTTCTCTTCCTGCTGCGGGGGGGATGAGTGCCATAGCAGATTTTTCGGATTTTTACGGTTCGGGCGAATTTTCCCGTCGGAGTTTTTCTGAGTCTGAGGATTCCTTGAAAGCTGGTTCGGATGGGCCGGTTGACTTCTTGTCAGATTCGTCTGACTATCCACAGACAGCTGGGATGCCGGAAGTTCCCCAGCAGGAGTTCTCGACCTTGCAAGGTGTCTGTGAAGATCCAGCTGCGTCTGATGAGGTTTTTTCTTCTGAGGATAGAAGGGAATCCGGAGAGGACTCATGTTCAGAGAGCCCGGGGGAGATTGCAGAAACCCGTGAAGCGGATAACGCTCCGGGAATGCCGCCTACCAATTTGGGCGAGGGTTCAAGAGGCCCGGGGGAGCCTTGTGAGCATCGGGTTCTAAGGTTTGTGGGTCCGAACCCACAGCGTATGCCTGCGGCCAATCCAGCCCCTGGTGGCAGAAATGTGCAAGGCATCAACCACCGTGTGCTTCAGGTCTCCTTTGCCTACATGTCTCCTGAGCAGTGGGCAGCGGTGTGTTATCTTGAAGAGGAGGAATTTGAACGTCAGATGTCGGACCTTACCCGCTTCTTGGATCCTGGTGATCCTGTTGATGGGGATACCGAAATCCCCTTCCTCCTTCTTCGGGGTACCTTGAGAAATCACCGCTGGGATCGCTATCCCACCATGGAATATCAAGATGCCGATGGCCGCCGGGCCCCCTTGTTTGAGGTTCTTCAGCACCATGATGATGATGGCTGGTATGCTGATGATAGCGCATTTGGGGATAGGCTAGTTGCCTTCACCATAAGGGATTTTCGGACCTCTGAGATTCGGGTTGTAGTTTTGCGACTCTTTGAACAGGAGCCACCCAGTCCCTTAGCTGTGCCTGGTCCCATTGACCCGCCTCATATTCGGGCATTCCGAGTGAAGGACGAGGCCTCCAGTGCCTCAGGGTCCTACAGCGCTTCATCTAGCCAAGGCTATCCGCCACCAATGCTTGCTGAGACCTCGAGTGCTGCCGACCGTCCCGGCCAAGGCTACTTGTCACCCATGCCTGCTGAAGCTCCTGCGGTCTCAGACCCGTCTGGTTCGGTGTCCAGCTTTTCTTCAGGATCGCTGGATGTGTCAGCAACGGGCCCGGTGTCTTCTAGTTCTGGGAACACCTCCACTGTGGATACTTACTCCACCCTGCAATCTAGCATCGCTGAATGGACCATTGATCCTCCCAGCAATCCTTTATGCCACATGCTCCAGTCAGGTGCACCGCTGAGCCCTTATATCATTCAGATTGGGCTGCAGGGCTGTGTGGAAGTTCTTGAGAATGATGATGATCTTGAAAAAACGTTGCATTATGCAATTCGGGGTTTCCAGTCCGAGCAACGAGGAGGCCGTATGCTTCCCAACGCTCTTGAGCCTAAGGTTGGCTGGATTGTGGTTGGAGCTATGATAGCCCGTTGGTTAGAGGATAATCCTGAAAGTGCGGGTGGCTATGATGTCCCTGAAAGGGTTAAAGCCATCGCCTTAGGAACAGCCACTTCCACGGTGCCTGAAGCCCCCGCCCCGTCGATGTATGACTTTTGGTTGAAAAAACTTGATCATAATGATAGAGCGGATGTGAATGTCCCAACTCCGCGATGGGACCGCCGGTATGCAGTGCTGAGTGATCGGGAAGCAGAACGACTCCAACGCGGTCGTCCAGTCGACGAACCAGCCAATGGCTGGAATGAACTCGATCTGCAAAACTTTGGCTGTTTGGTTCACACCATGCACAACCCCGAACATGCCTTTATGATCGGACTGTTTGTTCTTCGGGGTCGAAATTGGACCGCCATGCCTGAGGTGCGTATGATTTGGGATCACCGGCATACCAATGCTCCTGTGCCCTATGTGTTTGGGTATCAGCCCGGTGGCTTGAATGATCAGAACACTGAGTACGAGCTTGACCTCCTTGGTGTCGTAGAAACCGAAAGGGTCGTCGACTTTGAAGACGAACCCAATCGTCGCGCCTACCTTTACCGGGCCATCCGATATGGCCAACCTCCTCAGTGGTTTCTGATCGAAAGTAACATGATATGGCAAGATCGGTTTCGCTCTTCTGAAGAGACCGGTCGCAACCCAGTTCCCAATCCCCAAGGGCCTCCGCCCTTTGAGAACAGGAGAGATCGTTCTCCGCGTCGGGACCCTGATGCCGGGCCTGCCTTTCGTGTTGCTCGGCTCCTCTCTAGCTCTGGTGGTTCCCCGTCCGCAACAGAAGCGTTCTCTCCGTGTGAGACCTTCTGCAAGCAGGTGCTTCTTGAAGGAAACTCCGTTTCCACGGGTCAGCTTGCAAATGCTATCCGTTTGTACGTTCAAGATAAGAAAGCGATCAATCGGATCGCGAAGCGCCCTCTTGCCGGGAACCAGAAAGATGAAGCTTCAGGAGCAACGCTCCCTCCTTGGTTCTGGTCTTCCGGGGCTTGGGTTTTCAGTGCTAAGGTTGGAATCACCAATACGGTGCATGAGTGCCCGTGGCTCACTCGCCTTCTTGCTGTGAGCCTCTTCCACCGCACTGGGCATTGCTTTGCCTCCGTTGGCTTTGTCGTCAACATTGAGTCAGAGATTCATCGGGACTCTCACAATTCCCTTGAGTCAATGAATGTGGTTTGGAATGTCGGGCAAGGCTCAGGTTCTCTTGAGGTCCGGGGCCATGAGATGCCTCTTCCGCCAAATGCCTGGCTTAGTTTCCCCCCGCGTGATCTCCATAAGTCTGGAAGTTGGGAAGGAGATAAAATCCTGGTTTTGGGCTACACCCCTAGATCTCTTGAAAAGTTAACTTCTTCGGATCTTCTAAGCTTGAGATGGGTGAATATGCCAATCCAGGACCTTGAGCCTCTGTCGTCGTCTTCCGTCATCGGAGAACCCTCTCCTGGAGACGGTGTGTCGAAGTTGCTTCCAGATGAGTATGACTCAGGTGAAGAGGAAGCAGACCTCCCGGCAGAGGAATCTTGGAGTCAGGTGACTCAGGGATATGAGCAAATGCACCAAGCAGTGACGCATTTCTTGAAGTCACTGCAACGATCTGTTGTGGGCGCTTCTTCCGAAGGCCCAGTTGACCCTATCACCTTGCAGGCGATGCGCGAAGCTTCCTCCCTTCGAAATGAGTTGGGCTGGCATCTAGAACTTGCGCGCCTGTATGGCTGCGAAGAGCCTGTCAGTTCCTCCTCGTGGAGGGTGTGTGCCGCTGCCCCTGCAGCAGAACATCTTGAGTCTCAGCCCTTGCTGCATACCCGCATCGTCTCGAATGAGGAAGTCCGTGAGAAACTGCATGAATGGCGGGATGCCATGAAAGCAGAGTGCGATTCCTTGATTTCGAAGGGTGCTGTTGAGCTTGTGGCAGATAGTCAAGTTGAAAAATGGATTTTAGATGGTGAAGATGTAGAGATCCTCCCCGGCCGGGGTGTTGCCACTGAAAAGCCCCCTGTAGCTCCCGGATCCACTAAGAGAAATAAGTATAGAGCTGTAATTTGCGGCAATTTTCAAAAGTGGTCCGAGGAAAGGGCGGCAGAGTCCTTCTATGCCGGAGGAGCGGATTCTCTTTCGATCCGCACTGCCTTGAGATGGGCGGGCATGAGGAAGCACGGTGGTTCAGGAACTGATGTCAAGACTGCCTTCCTCAACGCTCCTCTTGATGAGCAGGAGGCAGAGTATCTGATCTGCAATCCACCTAAGGTGCTGTATGCCGCGGGAGTTATCCCGAGGGGCTACAAGTGGAGAGTCCACGGTGCTCTTTATGGACTCCAGACCTCCCCTCGTGCTTGGTCCCGCCTCCGGGACAAAACCTGCAGAGTCCTGACCTGGACCGTTGATGGCGAGAACCGCCACTTGCAACAGTGCGTTGCGGACCCCAACATTTGGCTCGTCAAGTCCCCTTGCGGTGAGACTGTTGCCTTGATGTGTTGGTATGTCGATGACCTCCTAGTGTTGGGACCCTGGTCGGAGCGATCTGCTCTTCTTGAAAAAATCAAGGCCACATGGGAGTGCAGCGCATTTACGCATACTGAAGATGGCCCAGTTGAATATTGCGGTCTTGAGATTTCGGAGTCTGCTGATGGTCTCTTGATTGGGCAGACCAAGTACATCAAGGAACTCTTGAAGAGGCACAACGTGCAGGGGAGTGCCAAGTCTCCATGTGCCGCGTGGTCAGCCAACTTCGATGATGGCGAAAGCCGTGATGACCCGGTTGATCCGGAAGCGGTTAAGGCCGCTCAAAGCATAACTGGTGAGCTACTGTGGCTCTCAGTTCGAGCGCGCCCCGAGCTGTCTTTTCCAGTCAGCCGCATGGCACAGTTGACCACCAGGAGGCCAAAGGATGCGCTAAGCATTGGGCAGGGAGTGTTGCGTTTCTTGAATTCTTCACCCTCCCAGTGCATTGTGTATGGCCCTCCTCCTGGAGACTGTGGGGCCTCTCAACAGTATCCGAGGCCCGTCGTTGAAACGACGTTGCATGCTTTTGCAGACGCCTCTTTTGGGCCAAGTTCAGGCAGATCCCACCAGGGTCTGCTAGTGTGCTGGGCTGGAGCTCCGCTCCACTGGGAATCTGGCCGCCAGACGCTGACTGCTCTGTCAACCGCTGAGAGCGAGCTGATCAGCTACGTCTGTGTTGTGCAAGCAGCTGAAGCTGTTGAGGCCTTGATTGGGGAGATCTTTCCAGAGCCCCTTACTCGATCCCTCTTCGGAGATAATTCTTCAGCAATAAGCATTGTAAGCGGCCCCCCAACTTCCTGGAGATCCCGCCACTTAAGACTTAGGTCCCATGCCCTACGTGAAAGGATCGAAAATGGTGTTTGGACGGTTTATCACTTAAGCGGCTTGCTGATGCCCGCCGACATCCTTACAAAGGCGATGACAGCCTCAAAGTTCGGCGACATGTTGCCGTTTTTAGGGGTTAAGAATCCGTCTGAGGATTGTAGGTTGCGGTTAGCTGCAGTGCTGGCATGCTGTGCCCTGCTTCTGAAAGGGCAAGGCTCTCCTGAGCCTGAGGGTTGGGGTTGGGTTATAGTTTACCTTACGGTTGTGATCTTAGCCTACGAGGGTTTTAGGTCATTCCTTAGGAGGTTCTTAGGCGTAGTTGCGTACGTGTTCCCAGGCCTCGGTGCTCGATTTCCCGGGGTTCTGGATGTGCATTCCTCGCCCGATTCTGGGACCACGCAGCAGCCTGCCGCAAGCACCCCGCCTTCCTCTTCCACACAGTTGCCAGTCCCTGGTGCTCGACTTCCCAGGGATTCGTCCTCCTCCATCGGTGCTCGACTTCCCGGTGGAGCCTCCTTATCTTCTAGATCCACTTCGAATCTTCGATCCATCGGAGTGAATACCAATCCTGAGGACTACGCTCCTCTTCCTCCTGTTCTTCCAGCTGCTCCTGCAGCTACCTACCGTCACCCAATTGACCTGGTGAGCCATTCCACCTCCAGCGGCTCCCACTGGCATCAAAATCCCGAGTGCTACCATCTCCGAAACCGGGATCATTCATCACTGCTTCCGTGCAGTGACTGTGTAGTTGGCCGCACGGTCTTCCATACCAATCTCCCTACTGGACTTCGACGCCGCAGGGGAGGGTGATTGATGGACTTCAAGGCAACCAGTGCCTTGCAGGCTACCACAGCCTCCGAGCACCAACTCGTTAAACTGATTCGCTGCCTGCCGGCCTGGACTTTTGCAGCGGCCTGTAAGTGTCGCTTTCTTTCTTATGGCTGGACTTAGCCTTCCTTCGGGGCTAGTCAGGCCCTCGACTTCCTTCTTCCCTCCTCGCCGTGCCACCATCCGTCTTTTCCCTTGTGGATTTTTGAGGCGGTACCGCGGGGTTAAAGGGGCTTTTAAACTACTAGTCTTCAGACTTTATCTTTGTTTGATTCCTTCGAAAGGCCTTGAGCTCTAAGACAATGGCTTCATGACTACTGAATGGATGGATCCCTCGAATGAGGTAGAAGTCCACAGGGTCTAAACAGACCATTAGGCTTTGCGAAGCGCAAAGGGGGGAGTGTTGGAGTGATTTCAGCATGAGCCCCTGCGCAGAATGACACACATGCAGGCCTTTTTGCTCAGCGTATATAAAGTTGTTGCGTGCTTTCGGGGTGTTAGTTCAGGGTTGAGCCTAGAGTCCAAAGCTTAGGTAGCCAGGTTCTTCTAAAGGCCCTTCCCCGGTAACTCCTCGAAAAGAATTACTATTACTATTGCTATTACTAGTACTACTATTATTACTATTACTATTACTATTACTATTACTATTACTATTACTATTACTTGTACTATTACTATTACTATTACTATTACTATATTACTATTACTATTACTTGTATTATTACTATTACTATTACTATTATTATTACTATTACTATTATTATTACTATTACTATTACTATTACTATTACTATTACTATTACTATTACTATTACTATACTATTACTACTATTACTATTACTATTACTATTACTATTATTATTACTATTACTATTACTATTACTATTACTATTACTATTACTATTATTACTATTACTATTACTATTACTATTACTATTACTATTACTATTACTATTACTATTACTATTACTATTATTATTACTATTACTATTACTATTACTATTACTATTACTATTACTATTACTATTACTATTACTATTACTATTACTATTACTATTACTATTACTATTACTATTACTACTACTAACTATTACTATACTACTACTACTACTACTATACTAGTACTATTACTACTACTACTACTACTACTACTACTACTACTACTACTACTACTACTACTACTACTGCTACTGCTACTGCTACTGCTACTATTACTACTACTATTACTACTACTACTACTACTACTACTACTACTACTACTACTACTACTACTACTACACATGGAGAAAGTTTTTTTTTGATTGGAAGAAAGTTTTTCTTGATTGGTGAAAAAGTTTTTTTGATTTTCGCTGAAAGTTTTTTCACACCCCATGGTATCCTCCCCCCTTCCCCCCCGCCCCCCCTGTGTGGTGGTACTCTTTTTGCCGCGACGTTCTTATGTGTTACTCCTTGTCTTCGCTCTTGCTGTGGCGCCGGTGATACTGCTCATGATGTTGTGCTGCTCTAGACCGGGACATGAGTCGACAATCAGACCATGCTCAACATCATCCTTGTCGTCGTCATCTTCCTCATTAATACCATCAAAAGAATATCTGCCACCATCACCATCGCCATACAACCCTCATAATCCAGCATTGCAATTCATGTCAGATGCTGGAAACTACTGCGCCGATTGCCGCTATCCGCACACGGCAGGGCATAGTGCGACACCCCCGATCCGTGCACCAGGTGGGGGCGGACAACTGCGGGCCCGGGGCGGGCCGGGGGCCGGGCGGGCGGGCATGCAGCAGGGGGGCAACACCATTGGGGGGGGGGGGCCCGGGACCCGAGAGCATGTAAGTATGTAATTATCTGTGTATGTATGTATGGTATGTCTAAAGATGTACACATGTGTGTATATGTACATATATATGTACATATGTACACATGTAGAATAGAGTGACCATGTTTGTATATATATATATATATAGAGATGTATCTCAGCGAGTCAAGATGCTTACCTCCTTGCATTCAGTTAGACTGAGTTTAACAACAACCCAGGAAGACGAGGGTTCGCGGACTTGTCCTGGCCACTTTGCATGGTCATGAAGACGAGATTTCGAGTGCTACATGAACCGTACTACGAACCCCACAACACAAACCCAAAAAGCGAACTCCTCAACCCGAAGTCCAAGCTCACCTGGTTTCTTGATCTGAACCCGAAACCCAACCGTCACACTGTGCCCCAGGTCTTCAAGACCGGTGTGGAGGCACACGGGATGGTGTTGGGATTCGATCAAGATTCGCTATTTCTTGTATAGCCAGGTGTCACGGATTTGGCTCGGTAAGACTCGCGTAGAGAATTGCCGTTTTGCTTTCGTGCGTTGCTGGGCTGCTGCGTTTGTCGCCGCTATGATGCACCTGAATAGAGACTCTAAGGCAGCAATGCATTGGAATTCGCTCTTGCCATCATCACCACCATACAAGCCATCACGACATCACCGTTATCTCCATCGCAATCCTTTTCCTCGACAAGTGTATGCCAACCTTGCCTGCTACTGCTTTCAGTCGTTACTGCCCTCACAGCTCCTTGATACGAGGTTTCTTAACTTCTTATTCTGCGTCGAGCGACGGATGCCGTTGTTGCATTCGCTGTTGTTTAGAGTCCTCCCAGTTAGCAGTGGTTGTAGTACCAGTAGTACAGCAGCAGCAGCAGCAGCAGCAGTCGCAATCGCAGTCGGGAGCTGTCTTGCGCCTGATACGGCCGGGGGTGTTCTGTCGTCCAGTCATGCTAGCTGCTAGAACTTTTGGATGGCAAGTCCCCAAAGCTCCGGACTCGATTCAGGCCGAGTTCTTCCTCCTCGCGCCGCAAGCGCAGGTCCTTGCTCCGTGCTGCGGAGTGCTTTCACGACCGTTTGAATTGCTTCATCCGACACCTATCTGTAGTTCTCTTGAGCTTGTTGTTCGAATGCCATAGCGCCTCAGACAAGAGAGCGCCAGGCACCAGCAAGTACCCTGAACATGACTCCGAACTCTCCGTAAAGACGTAAACCGGTCATTGTCCCTTAACTCTATACCGAAACCGAAACATGCTCAAAACCCAAGTCCGTCTTCATCCCGAAAATCATGGTGCAGGGCTCCCAACTGGCGGTGTCGGACCAGGGTGACTCCTTGAGCAAGCCATGCTGTGACTCGGGTGCTTCATGATATAGTGACCTGTATGGTAACTCTCTATTGACCTTATAGCAACCCGTATAGTAACACTTGTGGTAACCCATATACTAACCTTTTTCCGAAATTCGATCACGACGATTAGTCTGTTTGCTACGGTAGGGCATTTGTCATATCGAAGTTCGGTTGAGTAGTATCGAAAGAGGTGTAGAATTCTGAAAGCATGCTGCCGACTCAGATGATGCTCAATCCATGATGCGGCGGTACGCGCTGCTGACCGACATCGTGGGCTCCTTACTGGGATGGCTGAGTGGGCATGCTCTATACTGTCTTGATCAGTGGAGCTCAAAGTGCCGCAACGGCGACTTGAATTCCTCAGAATTCTAGAGCGAAGCACCTTAAACCCCGTACAGCCCTGGAACCAGGCCTTCTCAAGCCTACGGGTCCCAACCCTGAGACCTGAACCCCTTGGCTTCAAAGCCTCCAGGACGCCTCAGCCCTAAACCGAAACCTTTAAACCCTGCGACCCAGAATATAAGCCTTAGATCCCAAGTTGCAAGCCTTGAATCCTATAAACTGTGAGCCCTCAAGAGGTGTGCACTCTCAACAAGTGTGGCTTCGGCGTCTACCAGACTGACCACGAGGATGCCAATGGCCAGTTCGAGATCAACTGGCACTACCAGGAGTTTAGGGTTTGAGGTTTGGGGCGCCTGGACAACGGCCTCCAGATTTGAAGGTCCCGGGCGAGCTGTGCTTACTATGTTGCATTGATTTTACCTGACATCGCCGCTTGCCACTTGAGGACTGCATGACCACTGCCGACCAGCACATCTTCTTCAAGTGGATCCCGGGCCACATAAGCCGCCAAACCCTCAAACCCTGAAGCCCTCAACCCTGAACTCAAAAGCCGCAGCCCTAGCCCAAGCGCATCCCTAGACACAGGGTCCCTTTTTCTTTGTCATAGTTGGATAGCAAACATTTTACTTCTTTATGGGTGCTTAAACTCAATAAGACTGATGCTACGAAGCCGAGGGCTGTGAAGACACTGGCAGAGCGACACGGCTTCTCGGTATCCCCGCCAAGGTTGGCACAGAGGCTTTCTCTGGGAACTCCACAACAGTTGCTTTCATGTTCGTTATCATGTAAGCCATGGTACACGCAAGGGGTTATGAAGAATGCTATGTTGCTTACGCCCTCATGTCAAAACGGCCATTTCCCCATCTTGGCCCCAAGGGCTTGAGTCCTCAGCCACGTGCTCTAAGTCCTGGCACATTGGCCTGGACACCAGACCCAATCCTCGAGCAACACGGAGCAACAGCCTGTGGACTGCAGCTACTCCGTTGATGGGGCTGGGGTGATGATGGCGACGATGATGATGTAGGTCATGCCGACATGGATTCTGACGCTGGTCTTCTTGCTACAGTCAACTATATAGTCAGTGGCCTTGTTCCTGTGCTTGTCCTCTTGTTGTTAATCAATGTAATCAACGACTCTTACCCGTCTTACCCTTGGTGTCGTTCCTTGCATTGTTTCTGCCCTTCCTGAAGCAAAGCGGGTTGAAGCAAGCATGTTCTTGTAGCTCAGACTAGACACAGATTGGCGGCGGTGCTTCTTGCTGACTGAACAGGGTACCATGCAATTAAACTCCGCTTATGTCCAGCACGACGT